CCCCGGGGGGAATTTCGAAAAATCCTTTCTTAGTGTGCGTTTTCGTGACGTACTCTAACTGTGTACCAAATTTCAATTTTTAACTCCTAACCGTTTGGGCTCTGCGCTTATTATTATTATTATTATTATTATTATTATCAACCCGTCTTAATTCTCGAGTTAAAATATAATTATTAATTCGGTAAGCTCCCCCTTTAAGAGGAGAGCATGCTGCTTGCAGAAGTAGAGATCTAAATCATCCCAGTGACCATTATACCTCAGCGTGAATCACGTGAATTTAAACATACCAAAATCCAGGAGGGATTCCATCAACCCAAATCTTGCCAGAGGCACAGTATGATATATTTGTCAATTTTAAAACAAAAATGGAGACTTTTAATTACATAAATATTAATATTTAAATTTTATTACAAGTGCTAAAAAGTGGCCTTACCTAATATCTATATACACATTACAAAGTTGGCGGTTTACATTAAAGAAAAATATAAGCACTTACATTAATAAACATTAATAATAGTTAAGNTTGATAAGAATGAAGTAATCACAATAAATAAACAAACTGTTTCCCTTTTATAGTGTAAGAGGTCACGAATCAAGATTTGCGTGCTTGCAAACAATTCAAACTTTCTCTGATGCGATTAGAGAGAGCTCTACTCTTTTAGACATTACTGTCTCCTCGACAATGCATCTTTATCAAGCTTACTAATTAAATAAGTAATCATTGTTTATGCGTATAGACTATGCATTACCCGATATTCAACTTTCAACAATAAAGATANTTATTTTAAAATTCAGTCTTGAATATACTTAATTATTATATATTGCTATTCCTTACAACGTTAATATACCTTGTATAATCATTTTTTAAAAATTCTAAATGTTTTTTTTAATTGCAGTCTATGATTGATGAATATTTAAATTGTAAAATGATTATTCTCATTAGACGAAGAAAAAATTTAGAAAGGAATTAGAAACTATGGATTATTTGTTAATAATTATTGAAATTATTATATAAATTACTCAGAGAATAAGTTTAAAATTTAATAATTTGGCTAAATTAGTCGTGTTATTATAATGTAATTTGATAAGAATGAAGTAATCACAATAAATAAACAAACTGTTTCCCTTTTATAGTGTAAGAGGTCACGAATCAAGATTTGCGTGCTTGCAAACAATTCAAACTTTCTCTGATGCGATTAGAGAGAGCTCTACTCTTTTAGACATTACTGTCTCCTCGACAATGCATCTTTATCAAGCTTACTAATTAAATAAGTAATCATTGTTTATGCGTATAGACTATGCATTACCCGATATTCAACTTTCAACAATAAAGATAATCACCGGACTAATAACTTGTAATAAAACATTTATATTTAAATTAAAACTGTTACATTTAAGTATGTACTTTGAGTTTTTTAAGGAATTTTTAGGCTTAATTAATATAGGTAAACCTACATAAATCTCACCAATTATTGAATTAATAGATTTAATTAAACATAATTAAATCTCGGACACATTTTAAGATATATTTATAAATTTTGAATAATAACAACTTATTACTTATATTATAATATGAAATTTGACATTAAAATTTTTCTAATTATATAGAATATATAGCCTACATATAGAAATTTAACTTAACTCTCATTATTGTTTTTTTTGTTTAAAAAATGTATAATTTTATTAAATACAGGCCTATTTATTTAGCAGGTTAAACATCAAAAAAATTCAAAATGCTGATAGGATTACGTTTCTTGATACGTAAATGAAGTAATTAATAACGTTGGATTCAATGAAGGAAGAAAACAACATAAATAGACTACATGTAACACGAGCCTCCGTAATTCATAACTTCAATAATCATCACATCATTCAATATATTGTAACTAATTAAGTAAACCTTTTATTCTTAAATTAAATTGAATATATAATGTAATTAATATGGGTGAACGCACTACAACACGTAAAACCGGTGGGGTGGATCATTATATAGATGCTGAACTTGTTACTGAACATATAATTCACAGTTAAGTCATGAAAAGTTGAAATTTGGTATACAGTTAGGGTACGTCACGAGAACGCACACTAAGAAGGGATTTTTCGAAATTCCTGCACACGGGGGAGAGAGACAGGTTAAGGCTTAACACTTCTATCAACAATGGAAGTGTTAAGTAACAATGCAAGTTTTAAATAACAATGGAAGTTTTAAGTAACAATGTAAGTGTTAACAATAGAAGTGTTACGTAACAATGGAATTGTTAAGAGAAAGCGACGTGCAAGACGCAGATGCAGTTTTTTTCGTTTTTGCGGGAAATCGAACATATTTTTAGACCCATCTAAAAATTCTCTAATTAGTCTGGAAACAAGGGGACCCAATTCTTGCATTCTGTGAAATCGAACATATTTTTAGACCCATCTAAAAATTCTCTAATTAGTCTGGAAACAGGAGGACCCAATTCTTGCATTCTGTGAAAACGGGTAAGGTTGACTATAACGTAATAATTTTAATCTTCACTATCGTTAATTTTGCCCGAGCAACGCCGGGCCTACCTGCTAGTATGTATATAAATCTTCGTATAATGATCTTTATTAAACATTATTTTTAATCACTACACTGTTAAAGGAAGTTATTTATATCATTTAAATTTATTATTTTTCATCTTCATCCTATTCACAATTTCTGAAATTGTTACATTAGAAAATGGAGATAAGATTAATGCCGTAAGCAGTTAAATAGATGCGAATAATACTGAACTTAGTAAGCAAATTTCAGAGTTTCAATCCTGATTCTTGGTGTTTCTTTTATTATTTTATATACAAGAATAAAATTAACTCTGGTAGTAATGAAAACTTAAAGCCTTACATTATTACTATCATTCTTTCAAGAAAATACAGCAATGTGACATCGAGAGTGGATTAAGGACAATAAACAATGGATTATTTAATAGAATTCAGTTTCACAAGACTCTTAACCCCCTGATAATCTTCATTAATCTGGATTTTTTTTACGCACATCGATTTTGTCGTATAATTCCACAACACTTCAGCTAGAATTTTCGTTTACTTCAAACAATTTGAATTTTATTTTTTAAATATTACGATGTAAATAAAATAATGTTAAACAAAATTATTTTATTTTGTAATATTTCTTCATTTGTAAAAGCTGAAGAAATAATTAAAAGAAATACAGTATAAAGGAGATTTTCACTGCTTGGCAGAGGTGTTATGCAGGTAAAGCACGCATTACAGGATTGAGTATTACAGAGAAGCCGAACAACACCTATTCGTCAGAAAATAGCTTTTATTGATATATTTTTTCCAAAGTTTAAGATTATTATTTCCTTTTGTTACAGAATATTCTTTTATTACGTAACTTCTACTTTCGTAACAGCTGAATGAATTCAGCTGTTACGAAACTAAGAAATATAGGAAATTAAAAACGAAAACATATTGTATTAAAGCTAATTACTTGATTACAATCGAATGATCGTCCTTATGATTGTATTATAATCATTTTAATAATAAATAATGAATATCTGTTAATATTTTAAAAGTATAATTTATTAATATTTACGATTTTTACACGATAATTATAATAAATTAATATTAATCTCTCTCGTACTCACTTTCATACTCTTCAGTCAATAAATAAATCAAATATTAACACTTCTGGCTTCACAAAATTTGAAGAATTTCTTTATTTTACTAATAACCTTGCTCTACACGTTCAGAAAGGAATAAGAACTTCTTCAATTTTTTTTAAATATAGTTTCCTTTGATGTATTTATTAAAAGGAAACTCGTGCAAAAACAGGATGTAGGGGTTACAATTAGATATAAGCAGATAGCATTAATCTATAATTACAAGCAATTATGTTATAATGATATATTTTCATCCTTTCTGAAGACTGATTTCATATCTTACTAATAAAGTTCTTGCAGAAAAAAACAGTAGGAATTTTATTTATAAGCGTTATTACATTAGTAAAACTGTTCGATCCTCATCATTAAACGGGATGATATGGATCGTTTGATGTAAATTTCATTAAAAATGAATGAAATACAGGCACCTATCTCGGGATCTTGAATAATATTTATTGTATTCCATTAAAAGTTTTCATTATTTTTATCGTTATATAAATCAAAATTTAAAGTGAAGACGTTGGATTTTACCTTAATATTACTATAAATGTTTAACTAAGATAACGTTGAACTTATTAATTTATTCAACATTTAATCCTCAAGATCAGGGATGAGCAACCTTTTTAATCAACGGGCCAATTTAAATTTGAAAATTTTTTGGCGGGCCGCACATAAAGTAACACTTATTAAAAATTTACAAAACTTTATTTATAATAAACATCAGAATAAAAAAATATAAAATTTAAAAAGAAGTAAAGATTTCATATACAAATTNTCCTCTTATTCTCTCTTTTATACATTCTTACATACTACTTTTATCGAAATTGCGTTTTGGATTGCAATTTGAAAAGTTGTAGATCTATAAATTGCCACTGTCATCAAACGTGCTGGCATCACCCGCAATTATATTTCATATAACTTACAGAGAATTGCGAATGAATTAGCTATTAGTTAAGTATGAAGTACTGTACGTGCACTTGTGTCACCGTGTTTCATGTCATGCCAAAAAGCAGTGGGCGAGTTTGGAGTGAGAGAAACAAAGAAATAATCACAATGCCATACTACAATTTTTAATCATATTGTTAATTTAATTAATTTAAAATATATGCTCTTTACATTAAATTAGAAGTGTCTTGCCCTGTACAGTACATCATACTTTTCCTGTTAGCAATATAGTCAAGTCTGTCATCTACCTGACTCCGTTCTCGAGATTAAAAAAGGACACATATACAGACAAACAGACGGGAGACAGTGGCAATTTATATATCTACAACTTTTCAAATTGCAATCCAAAACGCAATTTCGATAAAAGTAGTATGTAAGAATGTATAAAAGAGAGAATAAGAGGAATAATTTTTCGATAGCGGCCATACCACGCTGAAAATACCGGTTCTCGTCCGATCACCGAAGTGAAACGGCGTAGGGCCCGGTCAGTACTTGGGACGGAGACGACCTGGGAATACCGGGTGCTGCTATCATTTTTATGAATTTTGTAATATTAAAATTTTTTACGCCAGGTAGTACAGCAGTTCAATCGAATCCATTGTGTACAGAATAAATAAAAAATGTTTTACACGAACATTCCTTCAGTGGAGTGATGTGAATTTAAAAAGAAGGTGATTTATGGGAACCTGTAAAAATCGTAAATATTACCAATATTTACGATTAAAATTACGATCGAAGAATAGAATTAATTCATTATAAATTTGTAATATGTTAATTGTCACTACATGGAATTTAATCATAGAACTAATAGAAACTTACAAAAGTTTGCTGGGTTTAGAAATTTTCAAGATTTAATGTCACTTTCTCAAGTGATAAACCAATTAAACGATCTTTCTGCCAGTTTAATTGGTTCAGCAGACGTGACAGTTTCTCTAAATCAGGAAAAAAATTCCTTAAACTCATAGAAAGTGTCGAAAAATAAACTATCAAAGATCGAGAATGACTTGTCAGACTGGTTCAATATCGATAAAATTACTAACAGTTGAAATTTGAAAATAAAAATAAAATGTTTCTTTAATTTATACCTTCCTAGAATTGTTAAAAGCGAAGAAAATGTTTCTACAAATTATGGCCCCGTGAGAAGTCTATAGTAAATATATAAGTATTTAATTTTCCACATTTAAGGACTTAGATTTTTTTTTATTATTTCTGAACGATCCTTTTTTTAATTCTAATAAGTGCCCTCCAGTAGCCGAGTTGATAAAACCATCGAACACTGATAGTCGGTTATGGGTTCGAGCATGGCCAACGAGCCAGCCACGTGGAGTACTCCAGATTTTCTTCACGTGTTTAATAATGTGAAGAAAACCCAGAAAACTCCACGTTGGTCGGGCTCGAATCCGCAACCAAGAGTCTCTCATCGGCAAACAGAACATCAATTTATACCCCGTAGGTCTTTCAACACCTAAATGAAAACGTTCTGTCAGTCGCCATATTCTCTGCAGAAGAGAAAACATTGTTACCAACCTCAAATTGGTTTATTAAAACGAAATGTGAAAACTAATCTGCAGATAGAGTAGAGGTATACACTTTAAATTTTTAGACCATACCATATAAAAGCCGTTAGGTCTTCAATACAGAGCTTGTTAATCACGTATTACATTTTGAAAATAGTTCCTCTAAACTCCAAGCAAACAACACTAATGCTGATCGCGGTTCAACACAACACAAATGCTGGGTACAGTTAGACCCCGCTTACTACTTTTGTTCGTATAAATTACATTATTTAACTTACGATTTTAAAGGAACAAATAGAATTGTTATTGTAGTTATATGCATCCTTGTGCTTTTGAATGGAAATGTTTATGATGAGTTGTATAGAGTGATGAAATTTTTGATAGTAGATGTACAAAGTGATAATATTTTAAAGGTATATAAGAAGCTTCAATGTTGAATAATAAAAATCAATTTTATATTAATGAATGTGATATTGCTGGGTGATGATTTCGGTATATTTGTTGATGATCACTTGATATATTATTTTAGACCCCCATTTTCAATTTTAGGTTAATGAAAAAAATAGAGGTTTTAATACAAAGATCTGGGTTACAAACAACCTGTTTGATAAGTATAAATGTTATTACTTCTGTATGGGCGATAAAGTCAAATTTGTTGGAAACGTTTTTAAAAATTCTGTTTTTTTCAAGATTTATAGTCAACTATGTGTGCATTTTATTCAAGCATTACGTGTATAGTTGATGATTTCCTAAAGCCAAAGTGTTAGGATGAACGTCAGTAATTTTTATAAACATTTGATGCGGTACGTAGATCACTAGATTTTAATTACTAATAATAAAATCTCTGATATACGTAAATATGTTTTAAAATAGTCTAAAATATAGGAATTGTCCATAAATTACGTAACGCTATTTTTATAATTTCAACAACCATCCCACCTTTCGTAACGTTCCGGCACATACCTACCCCCACAATTACGCAACGTATACCTTCGATCGATTCTCTTAACAAGTAAGAAATAATACACAGCATGAGATATAAATGTTGCATCACTTTATTAATTACACGTGTAACATACTTATGTATGTTACACGTGTAATTAATAAAGTGATTAACACTAACGGTTTGTTATGCAGCACTTCAGTAACAGAAATGAGTCATTCTCTTACTCAGGAGATCCTAGCATCACGTAAAGTTTTTATTAACATCTTACCTCTTGTAACGCATCGTAACGATTACCTGCATCATACCCAACATCTATATCTGCGTTACGTAATTTATGGAAAGCCCTATGCAGAATATATCATTGCAATCGTACAGACTAATTTATTGTAAACAGAAGAATCTCCTGAAGCTCCATTCCCGGATCCATGTTTATTAATGTTTACATTAATGATTTAATCATCTGGATGCAGAACTGTTAACAAAGAAAAATTAATGCTTCGAATACTGCTTATTGTCGTAGAATAGAAATATTACTGATCAATTGTTGACTTTCTTTACGTGTTTTTCAAGGACGGAAGGACGGTTAAGGTGACAGCAGGTTACTCTGGGGTTCTGGAATCGAATCTAGACGAGTCGAGAAACCCCAGGAAATATTTCACCGGCAGTATGATCTGGTCCCTCCTTCAACATACGGTCGCCCCATTGTGAGCTTGACCGAAATTGTACTGTTCTTGATTTAAAAAAAGTCCTCTTAATAATATAATATAATTTTTACTTTCCGGGTTTTGTTATGAAATCACTGTCATCGGAATCTGCAGAAAATCTTTCACTAATATCATGATCTTTGTTATTTTCTGCTTCTTCATCGATTTCATAAAGTCATTACGGAATACATTCATCGTCAGATATTATGTCTTTGTTTTGAGTGTAAGAATTGTTATATATAACTAAGATCGAACAGCTAGAAACATTAAGCATGGGTAAAGTGTATTATCTACCTTATATTAGATTAAATTGCCAATAAAATACAATGAATTGCTGACAGGTGTGTATTTTTTACATAAGGGCATATTACAGACTGTATGAAGGATACACTGCCAGCATTAAGGTTTTCTGGAAAGCGGTTCATGAATACTAAATAAAAATCGAATGAGGTGAGTAAATGTTATTCATGGTTAATATTCTAGAGATATTCCTAAACAATTCATCTAATACTAATATATGGAAATGCCAAACCATAGCGGACACCTATCCCAAAGCTTCTCTTTATCGCCATACCCTGTTTGATCTGTTTGACCATACTACTCTTACACATACCGCTTCTTCCTAAATACTTGTCATATAAGATTTTTAGGGACTCTATCATGAACTTCTAGATTTACAAGTACACTGTTCAAGTTCCTCTTAGCATCTACATATTTGTACTGTACACTTGAAAACATGCATAAAATTAATCTCGTATTTAAGATCGTCCTCTCTTATTGTACTAATGAAACTTATTAAATTGAACTTATTAATTTCTATACAGTTTCATACTTCATTCACTTTTAATTTATCAGAAATACATATACAAAGTTATTAGCAATCCGGATAATAAAAAGATAACAATCACTCCTCTCAAGTTCTAGTTATCACATCTTTCTAATTCATATTCCTATCGATTAATTGCAAATTTAATGGAAATTCTGTAAACGATACAATGAGCTATTTGATATTAAGATTATAAATTTTGCATCATTAATTTCGATACTTTATATTAAAACAGAAAATAACAAGATGGATAATGAATTCAATTGTAAAGGAGTCTTTAAATTAATATTGAATAAGTAAATTGATAAATCTTTTACACGAAATCGTTTAGAAAAATAAAATATGTAAATAAATAATAAAAGAATTTCAAGATGAAGAGAATCTCTCGGATGCGGGATGAGATTCATTTAACTTGTACGGCTTGTTTACCATTCTTAACTCGATTTAGTAGCATTCACGTGTCTCTTTTGAGAATTCTTTTAAAGAAATTCGAGAAATGTTTCGATTTTAAAATGACATCTGATTGAAAGATTCAATATTCTTCTCAAAGAAAAAACAAATTCATTTTGTCAAAACAATATTACGTCAATTTGTCGTCATTTTACACCTTTCCATTATAAAAAAAAAATATAGGATTTTGGCATAACGTAGTGTTATAACAAAACGACAGCACCAAATATAAGAAAATAACGTTAGAATCTTCTCTATATCTCGCATCCTTCCTTCTTATCATATTTGAAAACAGATTCATTTTTTCGTGTTCAATAAAAATCGACAATCGGTCCCGTTCGCATTATTAAAAATATTTGTACTGTCGTAACGTCATCAGTTTCGTTACTATATCGATGGAAGCATCTTTCTCCATTTTCTGTCACTTCAATATAAACAAACGAACAGTAAGAAACATAAAATTTTGTATTACAGAAAGAGAAGATTCGATTCTTATCGATCTCTCTAAAATTCCAACTATTACTACATCGTAAAGTGTAACTTGCAGATCGATATATTAGAATTCGGAGTGATGTGACGAAGAACTGTTACGCCTCAAGACAATTAAAACTTAAAATAATAGATAAGTATATATTAAACTTTCGAAAAAACAAAGAATTTACTTTCGTTATATTATATAAGTGATGAATAAAATCTTATTTTTCTAAAGATATAAGGAACCAAAAGAATTCTGGTTCCTTTCCCTATTATAGGATAATATATCCTCCATAAATGATCTGTACGTTATCTTCAGAGGCGACAGCAGGATTCTCACAAGAAATAAACTCTGTATAACATCCTCTGTATAGAATTCATGTTTAAAATATATAACAAATGATCGTAATTAATGTACTCCTATTCAACGCTGTCTAATAAGATATTTAGCAGTCCATATGCAAATAAATTTAGTATATACATAAGGTTTCGGGGTATAATTTCTAAATGTATACGGGTTAATTGACTAAAATAGCATGAAAAAAATACTGTTTTTTTATTTATTAAGAGGCAACTCTATAGTCTCTTCATATTATTTATAAATAAAATAATTAGA